AGGTTGTGGATGCCCCCTCCCTGGAAGTGTTTAAGACCAGGTTGGATGGGGCTTTGGGCAACGTGGTCTAGTGGATGGTGTCCCTGCCCGCAGCAGGGGGGTTGGAACTAGATGATCTTTAAGGTCCCTTCCAACCCAAACCATTCTATGATATGATATGATTCTATTCTATGATATGATTCTCCTACCCACTGTTCCTTAGGACATTGTACTTTTTTTTGCGCTAATTTTTTTTTCTTCTGTGCTTCCTAAAAGAGGGAGTGAAGGGAAGTATGACAATTTAAAATTAGAATTCAAAGGAGACCGAGTATCCTCCTGCTTCTACTGGTCACCATCCTGTAATGCTGAATTCCTAGTGCAGGAGGGTGCTCTATAGACATATCTTTTACGTGCAATGAAATACTTTTCTTAGCTTCAGGAAACTTGCCAGAATGTTACACTGATAAGAACAATTGCATTTTCCCTTGTGACTGCAACTGGACAGAGAGATAAAGAAATGAGTCAGTTGTGTGCATCCGGCAGTGAAGTTACCTTCCTGTAGGCTTTACAAAGAAGTCCACAAAGAATTATAAAATCTTTAACAGGCTCTTATATGCAAATCCATTCTTTAATATTAGCCATTCACATTCTTCCTGTAGAAAATTAATCAGGATTTGGAGTGATGATATTTTTAAAACCATATATGATATTACATATATGGTTGACATTACATAGTGCAGTGTCTCCTGGTAGATGTACAAATCCTGCAAATCAAGGAAACTTCAATTTCAAATCAAAGGCCTGCTTTTGTTCTCTGTGCCACCCGGTGCCTAGCAATATACTACAGAATCGGTTTACTCCAGAGATCAGAAGGGATAAAAGCAAAGAAGGAAGGTAAAGATACAAATAGGGCAGAAGTGTGAAGGGAGAAAAGAGTGGTTTCTGCTTACGGTTTGTTCTGTGCATCATGATGTTCCTCTGGACTGTTCCTACCTTTTTGTTAAAGAAATGGTTGAGGCCATGATGAAGACACACTAGAATGCATTTGTTTCACATTTGCAAGAGACTGAAAATGTGCAGTTACTTGATTAGTGACTTGGAAGGAGTGGATTTTTATTTTTGGCATCTTGATATACTTAAGAGAAGGATTTTCTTTAATGGAAGGTATGAGAAATCCTGAAAAGGAACATTTTGGAATGACCTATTGACAGAAGTGCTTAGAGTATAAATGTTTTTGTCTGTCCATTAAAACCCAAGCAAAATAATTCAGTGATTTCAGTATTTCTTGAAAATATACACATGTAATATGCAATATCTTTTTTATAAAAAAAGTCTTCCTAAGTCCTTGCAAAGGATTTTCTGAGCATTATGTAACAGAACTGGATTTTTTCAAGTCTGGATCTCAATATATTCCTAAATAAAATGTTTATACAGTTGAATCAGAGATGTGTTTCACTTCCATTGACAAGACAGGTGAAAGAAACTAATGCAAGAATGTTTTTAGATTTGCCCATGAGCAGTTAATTATGTTCTGAATGCAGTGCTTAGTAGTGCAAGCAGCAAACTGAGCTTTGGGGATTGGGTCTGCAACAATCAAACACATAAAAGCACAGTAGTGGGATTTG